GTCCGTACTAGCAGACCTCGTTATTTATTAGACACTTTTATTTAGTAAATACTATAAGTAAAATAGTCTCATATCTTTTATTATTTTATTATAACATATAGTGTTATATATATATATATATATATATATATATAGTTCAACTAATGTACTGTCTATAAATATAACAGTGAAAAACTTGTCAATCACTCAGTTTATGAACACTAACTACAATGCTGTATCTAAGCAAACCCACAATCTTTAAACACTACAGTGCTATAGATCAGCAAACACACAGTATTTAATTTTTCTGGTGTTAAAGATCACCAAACATGCTCATATTTAACAAATAAAAGAAGACTAAAAGATTGATAAACCAGTTGTTTGAGAACATTGAGTTTTAAATTGGATATTGTTTGAAACTCTGTTAGAGCCTATAAGAGTTAATCAGAGAGTTTTTTGTTGTGTTATTAAGCAGATTTTGTGATAATAAATAAAGTTCAGTTTTTTCTTTCTGGTTCTTTTTCCTAATTTTTGTGTCAAGGGTATTTTGTTGAGTTAGAAGTTTTTGTTTGAAGTTCAGTTGTGTTGTTTGAAAAAGTACAGGCAAAGTATTTTTGAATTGTGACTATATTCCATTCATCTTGTGGAAGTTCTGGTAAAAAAATTCTGTTTCTTTTTTAGGAATTCTAGTATTAACATTTTAATTATTCTTATGTTGAATAAAAGATTCTTTACAGTCTCAGTTGCAGATAAGGTATGTTATGGTTTCTATCCATACCACCATGTCCATTACTCGCCCGGCATAGCCAGGTGGTTAGGGCGCTTGACTCGCAATCTGAGGGTCGCGGGTTTGAATCCTGTCACACCAAACATGCTTGCCCTTTCAGCCGTGGGGGTGTTATAATGTGTCGGTCAATCCCACTATTCGTTGGTAAAAGAGTAGCCCAAGAGTTGGCGGTGGGTGGTGATGACTAGCTGCCTTCCTTCTAGTCTTACACTGCTAAATTATGAATGGCTAGCACAGATAGCCCTCGTGTAACTTTGTACGAAATCCATAATAAACAATAATATCCATTACACTTGTTGATGCACCATCAAATAACTTGTTTTCGTTCCATAGAATATTCTGGTATTTTATCTTGTGATTTTTTTATATTGTAGCAGTTTAATACATAAGCATCATGGCTTGGTTAATGTTTGTAAAAATATCTCATATATATATATATAAAATTACAAATTTTATAGTGAATTATTGCACATAGCTGTAATTTATTGTGCCTTGATTAATGAAGAGGAAATTTGACACATTATAATGATATTGATTTAGATATCTCAAGTTAAGACTTTTGAATAATCTTAACAACTTTGCCAGTATTTGTTTCAGTGGAATAAACAAAGTTTTTTTGTCCAGCATTATTCTAAAAGACGTGCATCTTATGAAATAATTGAAAAATAATGTTTTGAAAACTTCAAGCTGCTGTTAAGACTAGCATCTTTCTTATTACGCATTTGGTTTCCTGAGTACCTTTAGTTTATTATCCTTAAAGATATTATTTTCTTTGTAGCCATGCTTCCTGTGAAAACTGATATGCCTCCTGGACAGAGCAGGCTTTGTCCAGGATCCAGGCGGTCATTTTTTTGTAGAATGAAGTGTAGGTCAATGCCAACTGTGAAAGAAGAAGCAGATACAACTACAGGCTGCCACAGAAAACGAAAATCTCAAAGCTCAGGTTAGATTGTTTTTTTGAAATTATGATATGCTTTTATGTTATTAGCAAACATCATGATAAACCTTTATGAGTAATACAGCACAGTTAACTATAGAAAGCACAAAGTTTTTTGTTTTTATGCCCAAAAGTTCCATTCTGCTTATAAATCTTTGAATTAATTAAAGGATCCTAGATGGCATACCTGTTCAATGCACCAATACATAAGAAAGATATAAGGACCCCTGTGTGTGTGTGTGTGTGGGGGGGGGGGGTCAGATCGAAATGGAGTCCTAAGTATACTTGGTAGGTTTGGTGATAGTTGGTCCAATTGTTCACCAGCCATAAGTGGACACACACACATGCAAACTTGTCAAATAATGATTTAGATTAAACAAGTTTGGTAATTTTTCGTAATATTTATTTTTTGTGCTGTTTCAGGAACTTAACATTTTATGCAATTATTTGATAATCATTTATCTTTCGTGCTCTTGTAGTTCTGATAAATAGTTCACATAAATAGCTATTTTTGTTTGGTGCAAATATTTTTTTTAATGCCACAAGCCTTGAGCTCTCACATACCTTACAATCACATCCTTACACTCTATTCACATGGTTTCTTTGCTGCTGGGATCTCCTGGGGAGGGATGCTGTTTTGTCCCAGGTTTGTTTATTGCCAACTTATCTCAGGGACTTGCATATAGAGCAGTATGTTTTCAGTGATATTCCTGAGACTTTGGAATCCTGTGTGGAATTGGTGAGACAACAAATGATCCTTTCTTCTTTGGTGGATAGTTTGTCTCATTCAGAGCCTAGACAAGCCCTAACTACTCTATACCTAGGGGCCCCTCCTTTTACTCTCACTCACATTGAGATTCCGACATATCTTGGTTCGGATCCCTATCTAGTCATTCTTCTCTCCCATTTGGATGTGCTCATCCTATTTTCTGCTCATGTCTGTGACAACTCTTTACACACTGGGTGAAGAGTATATCTGGTACAGAAGTGGTGCAGTCTCCCACATATGATCCTTTAATGCTAGGATCTACTCTTTTAGGGTGTTTTTTTGGATGCTTTCGAGGAATGCCTCTTTGTTTTTCTCTTGCACTGGTCCCTTCATCTATTTAGTGTGGGATTCTAACTATTTACGCAATCAGAGGTAATGTACTGTATTGGAAGTTATAATTTTCTCACACTTCCCATCCTTTCTCTGCACCGAAAACTGGTGCTTACATTTTCTACCATGGTTTGGTAGAATAGAATAGAGGGAGCCACGTGTCAGGAGAGTGTGTTGCACTCTTATTGGTGGAGGGCTGTTGCATGAAGATTTACATACAAAATGCAGTTGAACCATTTGATTGTAATGTACGTGGGAGCTCAAGGCTTGAAGCATGCAAAACAAATTGCATATAGAGGGCAGCACTGAACGATAATAGCTATTTATGTGACAGGAGGTAAGTACCTATCGAAATATGTTTTCAGTATAAGAAAATTATAACTTTCACACATATTGGAAGGAAAGTAATTTGATAGTAAAGTTTTAAAACTAAATGAAGTGTAACAAATATCATTGAAATATATTTCTTACTTAGCTCCATTCAAGAAGAAAATTATTTGTCAGTTAGATTATTTATTTATTTATTAGAAATAGTGTCAGGTAAAATTGACTTAAATAACAGCATGTTTCATCTTTTATTATTGAGAAATATTGAATTTTTTTTAAAAGAAACTATGGGCCATTATATGTGTGTTAGCTCCACTTCAAAAACTAGTGTGTGTTATATACTATTTATTTTAACTGAAGAATAAGTATTACATCAACTTAAAAGATAAATTCATTCAAACATCAGTGCACTGAAACTGGATATCTAAAATATATGGCTACATTTATTATGGATTAATTTTAAGGTCAAGATCCCAGATTGGTGATCCTAATCCTCTGATATTTTATATAGTTTTCTGAAGTTCCTGTTACTTCAACATATTGATATTTAAGTATATAGGTTAAGTAGTATTTTATACTCTAGACAGGTAATTATAGGTCAGTTAATATTACTTTAAATTGAGAGATAACTATAGGCTAATTAGTGATACATCCCCTTTCATAAATAATCATAACATTCCTTGACAGATAATTATATAGGTCATTAATATTATTTGGTTTAATTTGTCAGATAACTATAGGCTAATTAATGATACATCCCCTTTCATAAATAGTCATAACATTCCTTGACAGATAATTATATTGGTCATTAATATTATTTGGCTTAATTTATCAGATAACCACAATCAAACTTGGATATCTCAAATGCATAGCTAATACTGAATTTTGAACTCAATCCCTACCATTTCCTTTAACAAATAACTATAGGCCACCAATTAATTTTACATTTACTTCATAGTTTTAGTAGTATCAGATGCACTTGTCAGGTTAAGTATTATTACCTTTACTTCACAGATCGAAAATATCTAGTTATCCATTGTACGGGCTACCTAAAATCTTGGGCTCCAGCCAAGCTGAATCTTCAAGAGGAAACAGACAGTGATGGGGAGAGCTGTAATCTTAGTTGTTTAGTGGCAGTAGGCCGTGTCCACCCAGAAATCTTGCATCCAGAAGTTCCTCAACCAGGACTTGAAGTACGACCACTTGAGTTTGTTTCAAGGCATGCCATGGATGGAAAATTTCTTTATGTTGATCAAAGGTAACTCGTGTTAATGTATGTATGATAAATTATATACTAAATGAAAAAATGCCATTTGCTTGTACAACTATTTTTATTTTATATTCTAATTCATGACTTTGGATATTCATTTTATTTCAACTCTTTTGTAATAGTGAACTGAGTAGTAGAGTTATTGAAAGTTTTACAGGATAGTATTAGCATAATGTTTCTGGCAATTTTAGCCCTTTCGCAGTATGTATCAAAAAGTTGTTTAACTTAAAAAATGACATCTCAGTGTATAATGATAAAAGGGTGTATCTGTGTGTGTGTGTGTGACTGCCATAACTCCAAGAGGAAAGAACCTAGAAACCTGACATTTTGCACACATATTAGGTGGACCCTGAGGGTGTGCACCTGTGTATTATTACTTAACCACGTGTGTGCGCACCTGGATATTATCACATATCTTATCCATATGCATATGCACATCTTTTTTGAAACAAGCTAGTTTAAAACCACATAGAAAAAAAGAGTGACCACCATAGCTCCAAGAAGAAAGAACCTAGAAACCTGAAATTTTGCACCCACACTAAGTGGATCCTGAGGGTGTGCACCTGTTTATTATTATATATCTTATCCATGTGTGCCTCTTTTTAATAAGGCAAGTTAGCAAAAAACCACATAGAAAAGAAGTGGTTCTTTATATAACAACCTCTAATATATATGGAAAAGCCAGTGCATTTTGGTAACAATGCATTCAAACAATGGCTTTTATGTCATGTTGCTTAGCAAGAAAAGTATATAGGTTACACTCTTATGGTAAAATTGGTTCAGAATACAGATATTGACATAGTCATCTAGAATATAGCAACCTAATAACCTGAGCAAATCCGGGTACTTTTGCTAGTTAATTAATAAAAATGATTAGCATGAGTGCCTTCAAAATTTATTTGAGGTGGTGACAAGCCCACAACCTGGGTGTCAATCTACATGTGAATATGTTACCAGTTTGTTTGCTTTTTGTGAAATTACATGGACCAGCATGGTTGAGACAGACCTTTAAAGGTCCGCAGACTGATGGTTGAGAAACGTTGCTCTAGTCTATCTGTTTATAAATAGGGACGACTAGTGCAGATAGCCTTTGAGTAACTATGCAAATATTCGGTAGCCATCGCAGAGTTCATGCTGTTGCCTCGAAGCTTGAATGTGATGCTCTAGTTGATTATGGCTTATTTACGTACACCTAATTTCATTTTTTTATTTAGATAGTATTATTTTTTAATACATTTTTTAAATATATTATTCCAGTAAATTTTCTTCTGAAATTCCAGGAGGAGGGGGCAAATGCCTCCCTGCACCATCCTGTGGACACCCATAGTCATCAGTAATTTTATAGAATGTTTTTGTTTAATGAGTTTCTGGTTTAATCTCAAGAAGGAGTTAATATCACAAAACTTTCACATGATTAATTGCCATCTGCTGTTTTACACTTTACAAGTTTTATAAGTTACTCTTATAAACAATCGTGAAGTAGACTTAAAGAGTGACAACTGGTTTAAAAACAGTAAATAAACATGGCCTAGAACAGTGGTTTCCAACCTTTTCAACATCAAAGACCCCATGTTTTTTGAAAGATTCCATCAACCCAACAAACTGTTTTTCTTACTAATAATTAACTTGTTTTTCCATTTTTCGCTATCTAATAAAAATACATATATAACTGAGTGTGCTATTAAAAGAACAGCAGAATTAAAAAACTTACTTGTTTAATGAGATGATATTATCTTCAGGTTCAAGAAGTCTTGATAGAAATGAATAAAAACTCTATGACCCAAGCACATCCTCAAAAGGTGGACCTTTCTACTTCAGGGGCAAACTGAAGAAGAAAGGTCCACCTTTCGAAAGCACTTGGGTTATACGGTTTTTATTCATTAGGCATTAGTCAGTCACCAATAAATACTTTGTATGACAAATAAGAAGTTACATCATACACTGCAGTTTAAGCTTAACTAAGATGATTGCACAAAATATAAGGAAGAATTTTAAGTTATTATTAGTATAAGGTATGTCTTGCACCCTCCTGGAAACCATGTGACCTAGAATGTATTACGTTTTGTGAATAGGTTAGCACATCATATTATCTAGTCAGTTTCATTGTACCAACATTTGTTTGATGAAATTAATTGCTAACCATTATATTACATTTTAAATATTGATTCTAAGAATCCTTTCTTGTAGGACATTAGTAGAACACTATTTATTTAATATTGAACTTTATTTAGAAAATCAACTTTCATAATTTCATAATTATGATGTTATGTTTAAAGTGTGCTTCATATTGTTTTAATCAAATACTTCTTTTTATAGAGCTACTTTAATGTTAGGCTACCTTCCTCAGGAGCTCCTAGGAACTTCTTTTTATGAATACTGTCATCAGGATGACATATCCCACTTGGCAGATAGTCATAAACAAGGTAGGGAAAGCCTTAACTCAATATTTTCCTGAAACTAAAAGATTACTTTTGTTCCAAAGAATCATTCAGATGCCTTAACTAGTGTCAAGTGTGGTGTTTAGGTGCATATTTATGGGTACATTTCTCTGAAAACTGGAAAAACATGTCACACTGCTCACATTTATTATAATTATAAGCAGATGCTAAGAAAAAACGTAAGTGATTAGTTGAAGAAATACCTATGAAAGATACAAATACTAGAAAAA